GTTATGTTTTGCTGATTCTATTACACATTGGCTGGGAGATAAGAATAAACAGGACAACACCCTGTCTAACCCCAGGAGGAGTGGAGGAGGGAAAGTTAGTTACATTCATTCTTGGGCATGTGTGTGCACACCATATATTTGCAAATTGAAATACTTAAGAAAACTGTGCATGCAATAGTCAGGAACTACTATAAGCATTCAGAAGACTTTTATTGCACAATCAGATCTTTTAAGAATAAGCCATGTGTAATAGGGAACTTGACAGTTTTTCTCTACTGTAAAGTGCACGGAAGATATTTAAGTAATTGATGATTATTTCTCTACTCTCTATTTATCAATCCTATTTTTGTTTAGTCTTTTAAAAGCTTAAAAATTAGCCCTGGCTGGTGTGGCTCAGTGGATTGAATGCTGGCCTGAGAACCAAACTAACAGCTTAAAAATTAGAACAAGTAGCCCTGACCAGTATGGCTTAGTTGGTTGGAGCATCATTCTGTAACCAAAGGGTTGTGGATTCAATTCCTAGTCAGTGCACATACACTCTCCAGTCTGGGTATGTACAGGAGGCAACCAATAATAGATGCTTGTCTCTCTCTCACATTGATGTTTCTCTATCTAAAACCAATGAAAAAATATCCTTGGGTAAAGATGAGGAAACATGTAAACACTTCCCTCCCTATGGCCTACTGTATCAAAAAAGCTTACAAGGAGTCAATCAGCAGCGTCTGGCGAAAGGAAACATGTTGATTTGAGACTGGTCCCTCCTCCACAAAGGGAGTTGCCAGTTCAGGCACCAGTTGCCCTAAGGTCCTGCAATGGAGAATTTTGCTTAAGGAAACCAGCTGTTAAGCTAAGTTAGCTTCTGACTAGCCTGTCACAAGATGGTATGGAACTGTTGGCCTCAGAAAACAGAAAGAAGTTTTTACATCTTTCCCTATAACACCTGACTGCCTGGAACCATCAATGTCCACTCCACCTCTACCATTTTTTAGTGGCTCTCTTTACTCTTCCTCATACTGGTGTGTGGGTAGCTCAGGTGACCCAAGCCTTGAGGGACCACTGAATCTCCCAGCTTCAAAAATGAGTCTAAGGAGGGGGTGAGGAAAGCCATTCTAAAAGCTCATTGCCCTCCAGCTATACTGGGCTTCTTTCTGCTTCTCCAGCCCCTTACAACGTTTCCTATCTTGGGGCCTTTGGATTTGAACTCTGTCAGCCTGGGTTGCTTTTCCACCAGACTGTCACAAGGCTGGCTTCTCCAGTCTCACTACAAATGTCACTCTTTAAAGAAGACTTTGCCTTGCCACCCAAACAAAGCTACTTATTCCAAGTCACTCTATCACTTGCTTTCTTCATAGTGCACATCTTAATTATTTGTTCTTATGCATACTATTTTCTCCCCTGACTAGAACGTAGGTACCAAGCGGACAGAGAGAGACATCATCGATCTTATTCCCCTTTGCAGACTTAGCATCTTAAATCCTACCTGGCACACATTAAGTAGCAAAACAGAAATTTATCGCAAGAATGAATAAATAATGAATAGATGATTAAGACAATCCGGTATAGAACCAGTGGGAAAAGGTCAAAGCAGAATCTGCGACCTATCATGAAGCACACTGCTGCTGTATTATTTGTTTGTTTTTCTGATTTCTCCAGTGGGACCAGGACTGAAACTCCATGTGAAGGTACAGCTGTGAAGGAGAGCCACAGAAGACATGGCTTTTTTATTCAGAGCTCTAAAAAGAAAACCATTCTGAAATAATTTGTGCGAGATTCTTGAAAATGAAATAGAAAAAGGGAAAAAAATAACGTATTTGGACATCAGCATGAGAGTTCTGCCAAACTAATTATGCATCATGACATGTAATTATGAACTGCTGAAAGACAAATGATGAAGCAAAGTATTTATCATAAGCACATTCAGAGGTAAGACTGTCATAAATCTGGTTCCAGGATATTATTCCTTTAACATTATTATTATATAACAAAGAGTATAAGTATGATGATGAGCTAGCTCCTTTCATATATTTCTCAATATCTAAGAAATTAGGCTTACTAGTTAATCCCTAGCTGAGGCACCTGAAAAAATACCAAGATATGATAAAAATGGTGGAACACATTACACTGACATGAAAAGAGCTTTCTATATACTATAGATTCACTTAACATGCATTCAGATCTTTATATATACCTCATAGTAATACACAACTCAAGAAATGTACATTCCTCAGCTCCTTATCCAGAAGATTCAGCCATCCTGGAAAGCAAAAATAAAACAAAACAGAAAGCCCATACTGACTAAATGAGAAAAGATTGGGAATGCAACTTTGAAGGCATCTATTCCCTGGAACAGTGGTTCAGAAAAGAATTGGAGGGGTGTGTTAATAGGTCATAATCCTGTTATATTACTAGGTGACAAAAATCATTAAGTGCAGTTTTGATAAATGTTCTAGTTACTGTTATGTTTAAAAGCATTGAAAATTCCAATTTATGTTTTTAAAATACAGTGCAATCATTATAGATACCATCCAAAATTTTTAAAACCTCTTTAAAATGGTTATTAATAATTTACCCATTTAAGTTAATGTGGGAATGTTTAATGTCATTTACTGAAAAAGAATGCTAAAATGGAATAAAATGGTATTCATTATGATTAAGATCTAATAAGTACAGAAGTCCAGAGGTATGGAATTTATAATTGTGCATATATGTTTATAAAATATGAACTCAGGAAACAACCATTTCATGTACCAAGAAATCTTTTGATGTCTAGTGCATAGAACAAACAGGACAAGGACAAGTTTCAGTGTGGAGGTCTTTCCAGATGGTTCCTACTAGCCTTGGGATTTCCTATTCCTATTTAGGACACAGAGTTAACCTAGAAGACTGTCATTTTTGTCCCAGCTTTGCTCTGCAGAGCCCCAAGCAAAGTCTGGACCATAAATAAGGCAGCAGGGCCCTGGGAGCCAACTGAGCCATAAACCCCACTTAGTCACATGTGGCTCAAGGTATTGGGATCCCAAGAGAGTCCCACCAAACAAGTGGAATCAATTTAGGTTAGAGTTAGGAAAAACAGAGTGTTCCCCCAACCCTCCCCACTGGCAGTGGAAGATACCACAATCCCCCTTCCATGGCTCAAATACAGACTAAGCCCAGGAAAATATCTAGGCCAGGGAAGACTATTTCCACAGTCTAAAAAAGAAAGAAAGAAATGGAAAAAAAAATATTTGACAACCAACCACAAATTTTAAATGTATGGTTCTCCTGTTTTTAAGCATAAAAGCAGTCTTGTTGCTGCTAAGTTATTATCACCATCATATTTTTTGACATTTGTGTCCAGTACCATTTAGCCTTAGGGTACTTAAGGCTTATTGCTTTAAAAACACAGTTAAGCATGTTTAAATCACTTTAAATATCTCAAAATGCAGCAAATATACAGCCTACCTGTTTGGGCATGCAAACTTGAAAGGAAAGCTTTATAGAATGGCCTGCAGGTCAACAAATTCTGGTTTTGGCAGGATGATGTCAGGAAGGAGCTATAGAAAACACAGTCCTCTGTATGAAAAATACTCTGCCTTTGGTTCCCTCAGGTCAGAACTGGAACTGTTAGCAAACATGCCCTGAAAAACTGCAACTCTCATAAAGTGCTAAAAACTCCCAAATAAATATGGCTCCTCAAAACTGAGAAACATTTAATGAACGACCCTTTCTTTGCCAATAATTCTGCTTAAATTAAGTCCAGCAGCCTCTTCAAAGGACCAAAGAAGCCCCCTTGTTAAGACAAATTCTATATATAGACATCCAACACAATTATATGATGCATGTAACCAAATATATATAATTATCCTAGTTTCTACATTCCCATTATCTTCATAAATATAGGATAAAAATCAGTCTAAATGACTTTCTCAGACCTCCTCAAGGATTAAGACTACCCAGCCAGCTTTTAAAAAGTATATGTATGTAGTAAAGATCAAAAGCAAATGTTCTGGACAGTTCTTTTCTACCCATGGGTTTTACTAAGAATGTGTGCAGTTTTCAGGGAAAACACCACAAATGACAGCTGTTTAAAAGCATGGAAATTAATTGGCAGCAGGAATTTCCTTGACTAATAGGGAAAAACTTAAAGTCACATGTTTTGATGAGCTTATTTTTCCCATCCTTAGTCAAGCATATTCACTGTTAATAATTAAGACTTTCAAATAGAAATATAACCAAGTAAAATCCTGAGTATATAACCAAAAAAAAATGCTGAGTGAGACCTAGCTTTGTATTACTGAATGAACAATGGCATTAGTGAATAAATTTTAGATATAAATAATATATAGGGAAAGGTTCAACTTGCAGGTTTTGATTTTCTATAGGAACTAAACTGAGACAACAGTAAGAACAATGTATTTAGTGTATTAAGAATTAGTAGCAAGACAAGTACCTTCCCTTCCATGCCACTGCCAAGACACCATCTGCTTTGAGCTGTTTTTCTAGCAGTGGTGATGGATTTACACTGATCCATCCACAGTCTCTGTATCACAGGGGTTCTCAAGTCATTGTCCTTGTGACCAAAGATGAGAATGGATGAGACAGCTGGTTAGGATTGGGTGAGCAGCCTATGACCCTGGAACCAGGTAGTTCACCCTGCCCAGAGCTATGACTTTGGGATCATTAGTATTATGCTCTCTCCATCTAAGCTAACCAGCCACTGATCAGCCACAATCTAACAATACATCAATCACTCTGGGGGCACAATGTCTTCTTAATCCCAGCAACAATGTCATTTTATTTTTATGGCAGCTGAATTGAACCCAAGACATCCAAAGGCTCATGCATGGTAGAGTCTATGCACAAACTGTCCCTCATGGCAGCAATGAGATGTCCAAATATAAGTAGCTATGGTTCGTCCATTCTAATCAGATGACAGCTCTGACATAGCTCAGAAAAAGCAAGAAATAGTCAAAGAATTTGCAGAGCATATTTTCTCCAAGTGCCGCAACAGAACAATGTACCTGGCCATCCCCAGACTTGGAAAGTTGGCAGGAACGATGAGCACATCCAGCCTGGGGAAGGGATGTGTTCCCAGGACAGAGTGTGCTGCTGAGAGGCACGGAGAGAGCAGCTGCAGGAGGGTCTGTTGGCAGGCACCTTTGAGGCACACTGGGGCAAAGACCCGATGAGGAATGATCTCCTGGGTGGTGGCAGAAGTATTCTGGAAGCGGCAGGGGTATTCTACATGGCCACAAATGCCAGCGTACCTGGGAACAACACAGAATAAACATAAGTACTTTTTATTCTCCTTGTTGTTGAGGTAAGGTACTTTCACACACACAGACAACTTCTAGGAGACAGCGATTTAGACAGGTTCACAAGCAAAAACAGTTACTTGAGTTCTTTGCTTGTCTCTAAGTAGTGATGAAAAATCAAAGGTTGAAATACTTATTGATATGTTGAATTGATTGAGTAGTTTCAATCTAAGCTAAGTAAAAGTAGTAAAATCTTGTTTTAGAATAAATGGGAAAAAAGCCCCAAGACTCAAAACAAAAAAACAAACTCCCATCAAAACAAAAAACAATTTCTGCCCTTAAAGTTGTGCTTTCAAATGTCACGGTGGAAAAAATCCTCTCTAACTCAGGTATGATTCATAACTCAGAAAGGAAGGTACGGTGTAACCAAATTAAAGATCCCATTCTGGAATTTACTAGAATAAAATATGTGGAGTCAGGTAAAAAAAAAATGAACCAAATGACAGTATAGGTTCCAACTTTTCAAAAGAACAGCACTCATTTTCCTGAAAAGTACTTTAGGTTTTCTTGTGCTGTTAAAACCCTGGCTGGGTAGCTCAGTTGGGTTAGTGTGTTGTCCTGATACACCAAGGCTGCAAGTATGATCCCTGGTCAGGACACATATAAGAATCAACCAGTGAAAACATTTATAAATAAGTGGAACAACAAACTGATGTTTCTCACTCTGTCTGTCTCTCTGTCACTCTGTCTTTCTCTCTCAAATTAGTAAAAAAAAAAAAAAAAGTTGTGTTGTGAAGAAATACAGAAACACTTGTGATACGATATTTTCCCCAATCCACTTTCCTTTTAAGGAAACAGCTCAGAGTCCAGCCTGTACCATCTGATCACTGTCAGTTATTCTACCAAAGGTGGAGCTGAAAAAGAATTCCCAGAATCTGACTCATAGACCTCAAGAGAACTTATCTACCCAAAGAAACCAACATCAAAGGGAAGTCTATTTTTTCACCTGTTAACAGGTCCTTTATTCAAACATAATGGAACACTCCTGTACTTTTAATTTATAAATTATAGTTCTAACTATGGGGCTTATTATACTCCCAGTGAATACTGGAAAAAAAAAACCCACCTTAAAATACTGGTATGTTCCAATATGGGTGAACTGCAACAATAAAGCCTCTATAAATTTCTGAAGTGCCTTTCATCCATCCACAATCAGTACTGCCCAAGGAGAGCCACACAGTGTGGAGATAAGCCTCACCTTCTTGTAGTACATAGAACACAACTCCCAGCACCGATGATGATTTTGCACACTTGGGGAAAAAATAATGGGAGAAGACCCATAAGTACTTCTCCAGAATAAGGTGACAGGAAGGATATAACTGCTGACATTGAATGCTAGCCAAAGTCCCTAGATTGATAACCCTGCTTTATGGAGAAAGTGAGGATAGGTGCCTACTGGTAAACATTCAACCAAAAAGGCTGTGATGTCCACCTAATGACTAGAACTGTATTGGTGCAGCAATTTAATCAAAGCTCTCACAAACTGAAAAACCACCATTTATTAAAATAACCACCACAATACCTTTTCCTAATGTATTTATATATGTACATAATGTGCTATGGTAATTTGAGCTTGAATTCTATTGAAAAGCTTTCGGACCACTTTAAATATTGGAGAAACTGGAGGTGAAGAGGCATCTTCAGGACAGACTTGGAGCCATAAGTTTAAATTCCACCTACCAAAGCACAGTTTTGTAAGGAGGTATTCCATTAGCCTGTCTAGAAACATACCAAAGAGCAAGACTATTTTTTTTGAGATCAAGAACCTCAAAAGCTGGAGAATAGTTTGAGGTAGCCAAAGATATACCATACAAGCCAATTTGTTCAAGAGAAAAGGTGAGTTAAATTCTCTCTGGAGAGGAATAGCACTATCCAAGGCAATAAAGGTCATTTCATTTGCGTGAATTAGCACCGTTTTTCACAATTAAAGCCTCAGAGAAAATGTAAAACTTTAAGACAATCAAGCTATGGGTAAGTGAAATCATTAAGGATCCTAATAAAAATGGAAACAGCATCTAGGAGGCCACACCTGGAATCCAACACAGGACCAGGAAACCTGAACAACTGGCTAACTATGACCTAAGGCAAACCACTCCGTCTCTGGGGCCTCTTTTCCTCACCTCTGACATGGCCTCACAGAAGAGGATGCTGGGAAAGGGGAGGAGATTATGGGAAAGGGGTGTGAAGGAACTTACTGGGCTGATGGAATGTTCTTTATCTGGGTTAATATGCATACAACTGTCAAAAACTAATTAAGCCAAACACTTAAGAGCTATTCATTCTGCTGTATGTTAATTATACTTTCATTAAAAACAAACAGACTTTAGGCCAAGATAGAGGCATAGGTAGATACACTTTCCCTTCTCACACAACCAAAAGAAGGACAACAACAAATTTAAAAACAAAAAAACAACCAGTACTGACAGAAAATTGAACTGTATGGAAGTCTGACAACCAAGGAGTTAAAGAAGAAAGATCCATCCAGACCAGTAGGAGAGGCAGACATGGGCAGCTGGGTGGAAAGGACTCATGGCAAGGCAGTGGCTGGAGGACAAGGTGGGCAAGGGGGCAGCTGGTGGAGCTGGCAGTCCCACATGAGCCAGCAGTCCCACACTCATGTCTGGATAAATCAGGAGGAACAACTGGGGGTTAGGCAGACCAAGAAACCCGAGTTGTAGCAAGGGGGGGGGGGGAGCCTTAAAACCTCTGATTGAGAAAGCCTGTGGGAATTGCTGCAGTGGGAGAAACTTCCAGCCTCCCAAGAAAGTTCACTGGAGAGTTCACTGGAGAAACCCACAGGGTCCTAGAATGTACACAAAACCACCCACCCAGGAATCAGCACCAGAAGGGCCCAATTTGATTGTGGCTAGTGGGGGAAGTGACTGAAAGCCAACTGAGAGCTGAACAAGCAGCATTGTTTCTTCTCAGACCCCTCTCCCACATACAGCACCAAATGCAACAATGTGGGTTGCCCTGCCTTGGTGAACATCTAAGGCTCCACCCCTCACTACATAACAGGTGCACTAAGACAAAAAAAAAAAAAAAGCCCAAATGAAAGAACAGATCAAAGCTCCAGAACAAATAAAACTAAGCGACGAAGAGGTAGCCAACCTATCAGATGCACAGCTCAAAGCACTGGTAATCAGGATGCTCAAAGAATTGGCTGAGTATGGTCACAAAATAGAGGGAAAAGTGAAGGCTGTGAAAAGTGAAATAAAGAAAAATGTACAGGGAACCAACAGTGAAGGAAACCGAGACTCAAATCAACGGTTTGGACTAGAAGAAAGAAATAAACATTCAACCAGAACAAAATGAAGAATCAAGAATACAAAAAAATGAGGAAAGGCTTAGGAACTTCCAGGACAACTTTAAACATTCCAGCATCTGAATCATAGGGGTGCCAGAAGGAGAAGAGGAATAGCAAGAAGTTGAAAACTTATTTGAAAACATAATGAAGGAGAACTTCCCAAATCTGGCAAAGGAAATAGACTTCCAAGAAGTTCAGGAAGCTCAGAGAGTCTCACAAAATGATGGACCCCAGGAAGCACACACCAAGGCACATGATAATGACATTACCCAAGATGAAAGATAAGGAGACAATCTTAAATGCAGCAAGAGAAAAGGAAAGAGTTACCTACAAAGGAGTTCCCATCAGACTGTCAGCTGATTTCTCAGAAGAAACCTTACAGGTAAGAAGAGGCTGGAAAGAAGTATTCCAAGTCATGAAAGGCAAGGACCTACATCCAAGATTACTCTATCCAGCAAAGCTATCATTTAGAATAGAAGAGCAGATAAAGTGCTGCCCAGATAAGGTCAAGTTAAAGGAGTTCATCATCACCAAGCCCTTATTATGAGAAATGTTAAAGGGACTTATCTAAGAAAAAGGATATCAAAAATATGAACTAAAATGACAACAAATTCACAACTAACAACTGAACCTAAAAAAAATAAAAACAGAAACAAACTAAGCAAACAATTAGAACAGGAACAGAATCACAGAAATGGAGATCACATGGAGGGTTATCAGTGTGTAAGGGGAGAAAGGGAATGGGGGAAAAGGCACAGGGAATAAGTAGCATAAATGGTAGGTAGAAAATGGGCAGGGGAAAGTTAAGAATAGTAAAGAAATGTAGAAACCAAACAACTTATATGTACAACCCATGGACATGAACTAAGGGGACGAGGGAATTCGGTTGGGAGGGGGTGTGCAGAGTGGAGGGGAATAAAGTGGGGAAAATGGGACAACTGTAATAGCATAACCAATCAAATATGTTTGAAAAAACAAACAAAAAACTTAAAATCGTTTCCAAGGTTTCTCATGGCACTATGATTCTATGACAACTTACCACAAGAGCCCCTCTTCATACAACAGCCATGTTCCTGAAGTGGTGAGGGAATACTTTTACTAATACTAATACTACTTTTATAAAATCTTGACTAGTCTTCCATAGAACCAGTATTAACTCAAAGATGCTCTATCCTCCCTTCAGACTAACCTTCAATTACAAATCACTGTATATGTGTCTGCTCCAATATATTCTTAATATCGACAACAAATGAAGAATTTGTAAATAGCTGTTCCTTGTGCCTAGACTTGTAATCAGAGTAAACATTTTAATAATTGTTATAATATTTAATTAATTATTAATAATCTATAATACTAATGATAAGAGTAATAAACACAAATAACTCCTACCAGAACTGCTACTTACAGTCATTTAACACTTACTATGTGCTGTGCACTGTTCTGAATAATTTATATACATTTTCCCAATTAATGCACACAACATTCCTAGAATAACAACTATTCATCACACCGTGAGTCATCATAACCTCCTCCCTCCAGACTCTCCTTCTCCACATACTTCATTATATTTCTTAAGTAAATTTGGAATCTGGAGTTTTCCTAAAGCTGAGCTCAGCTGCCCTGTGGTTCTCCAGTTTCCTGTTCCTCCTTGTCAATATTGCCTATTAATATTACTGAGTGGGAAGAAGTGTGAAATATATGTTAGCTGATAAATAATGGAAACCAGGCCACTGGTCCCCTCCTATACAAGAGGTCTCTCCAAGGAATGACTGTGTTTTACTCAGAGCCTCAAAAGGTTCTCCTTCAGCTATCCTCTTGTTTCAAGGCAGGGCTGTACTAAAACCACCTTACACAAATGTTTCTCTGTCTAAGGTCCAAAAGAAATCACTGGAAAGTCTCCCCAGGAAATCCATATTCTTTTTCCACAACCCCTTCCCTGGTGCATGTGAAAACTCATAAATATTTTCTGCATTCTTGCTCTATTCAAGGCACTCCACAGGGAGCTGCCATGTACATACATCTGAATAAATCATTGACCCTACCTTTGAGGAATTTACAGTTTTGTTAGAAGAAAAAGTTTTTAGTTCTGATTAGTTTAGGTTTACACAATGTATTAATATTTTAGCTAGCAGAGTAGACGCTTCCTAAAAATCACAAGTGTTCAAACTGCTACCACCAACCCCCAATGCATTGCTGACAATGTTGTCAACACAGATGATGATGTAGTAGTGTCTGAAAGTCAGATGTGTTTTTCTCAGGCATTCGGTATAGTACAAAGCAAGATGAGATACTTGCAATGTGAGACAGAGAGCTGAAATACTCGGGGAGCAAGGGCTGGACAAATCAAATCAAGCCAGAAAGATATGGAAAGGTTCCTCTCAAAGTGAAGTGAAGGGTATTCTGGACATTGGAATTTTTCCCTATGATATGTATCTACCATTCCTTTTTTTCTAGACTTTCAAAGAGATAAAAACAGGATCTCATTCTCCAAAGTCCAACTTTTCATCGACTTTGCATCCCCTACCATGTCTGTTCTTCTTTAGGGTTAGCACCCTCAGTACCTCTCCCATGCTTTTCCATGCTCCATGCTGCATGTTTTCCATGCTTTTAATCATTTTTGCTGAGTTCCTCTGGACTTTATCCAAGCATCCTGCTTAAAGTATATGGCCCCAAAGTGAAGACAATGCTTTAACAAAGACCTCAAGAGATTAAACATTCCCCTGTTGTTGGAGAAGGTTATACTGCAGCCAAATAAAATTAATAAACTTTCAACAGTTTATCTAAGTGCCCTGTAATTAATGTATTTACTAAAATGCTCAGCCAGAGTGGGCTGGAAATACGTGGAAGTGGAGCTGGAGGAAGGACTGTTCTTCCTATAACTTGACCCACATGAACAGTGATCAAAAGTTCAATGACCAATACTTTGGCCAAATTTCTGGGACCCTAACATGCCTGAACACATTAGGCAAATGAAAGCCTGTGGCATATAAGGCCTCTGTAAACATTACATTTACGTGAATTGAACTAGTGGTCTCAGGAAGGTTTGAAGTAGAAGGTGGGATCGGGAAAGGCAAGGGGACCAGATGTGAACATAACCAAAAACACCACTGCACTTGGCACTTCAGAGCACCTTTGTTGGCAAACTTAGTGTGGAGCCAAAGATTTAATGGATAAAAACACAGAGCCACCCTCTGATGACTAAAGACAGCACACGTGAAGTATGTAGCCAGGGAAGGATTAAACAAATGTAAGCTATTATTTTATCAGCAGTGTATTTCTGATGGACAAGCACAGTGATAAATGAAGGGAAAACTTAGTCATAGCATGTCAGACACGGAAAGGAGTCTGGGAGGGACTCCACCTCCCCCCTCCCCACCAGGCCTCACATTTCCATACGAGGACAAGATTCTCTGCCTGCAGTGGCACCCTGCACTCTCTCTCCAGCTTATCTGATTAGCTGGGTCACTCTGGATTTTCTCTTTTCGAATCTGCTTGCCCACAGAGAGGGTGCTTTTGGCTGTTATGCAGGCTGTGTACATCTCTGTTGTGGAGGTTAGCAGTGGTACAGCTGGGTGGAGAACTTTGTCTAAATTGGAAATGGAGTATTAGAAAGCCAATTAACACTGTATGCCTGAGTATTACCTCAATCCAGTTTCTGTCAATAATAAAACATTTCTTTCATTCTCCTTCTGTTTCTCAATTGGTTCTGAACTCAGGTGGACAAGAGAGGAGTTGTATTTACCCCCTCCCATAAACTCTAACAGGGATTCAGATATCCTACCCCCTACAATCCCTACTTCATTCAGCCATGTCCCCCTCCTTCACAATTATGGATGCAGAAAAGTAAATAGCCATTTCAGCTGCTTGAGGGCAGCAGAGAGAACATATAAGAAATGATTGCTGTCCACTCCCCTGCTTTGGATCCCTGCAAATATGGCTAGAAAGACAAAATAAGAAATTTTTCTTTGCCTTCCCCTAGCCTTCCTAAGGCACACATTTTCCAACTGCATTCCTATTGTAACAGTAAATCAGCTCTGAGGTTGTAAGTGAAGTGCTGCTTCACCATGAAGAATTTGAGAAACACCCCCAGACCCCAAACCTCCCATCCTCAACCCTAGCAAATTCTTTATCCTGCAGAGAAGGAAAGTATAGCTTTGCCCAAAGAAACATACCTAGTCAGTGGGGATGGCACCTTCAGGCTCAAAGGAAATGCTATTTCTTTTTTTTTAATTTTATCTTAATCATTGTTCAAGTAGGAAATGCTCTCTATTTCTGTTTTCTATTACAACATGACACATTCCAATTAATAATAGTGACTCAATCATGGCACTGACTCTCCAGGTGAAAAGATGGACCAGATGCCAGGTGAGGCACAGATGTAATGTACAGTTTTTAAAAGTCCCCAGAAAAGATTCTGAATCACCCCTCCAGGGGGTTGAACCCAGATGTGAACCCAGGTATTGTAACTCAGTAGGGACATGAATGTGAACATGCTGCTGTTTGAAGTCTCAATATCATTATTTTATCTTTAAAAATAGAATTAATAAAGCCTACCTACCATGTAAGTTTATCCTCAGAACTAAGCAAGATGACAGGTAGACCAAGACTTTCCATAACTTCAAACATTCAATGGCTTCTGTATCAATTCAAGATAGGCTAGGATATGTTATAATAACAGACATCCCCATTATTTCAGTGGCTCAACCCCAAAAACTTTATTTCTCACTTATACCAAGTCCATTGTAAATCGAAGTGACTCTCCAGGGCACCTGTCCTCCCTAATTAGAAATTTGGCTGCCTGGACTTTCAAAATGAGGCCTACTGTGTGATCTCAGTGACAGAGGAAGAGAGCACTAGAGGGTCTCACAAGAAATTAAATGTTCCCATTTGAAAGTAACATGTCATTTCTGTCTACAATTCTCTTCTTCCCTTGAGAGTGAGTAAGTAAAATCCTATAAGCAATCTACAATATGTTGGGAACAAGGAAATTAAGAACTAAATTTTAACCTTAATAGACAAGAACCACATTGTAGCTGAAAAGAAATGATAAAAGAGACGGAGTACAGTTAAAGCAAACATCCTGTGTCTAGCAGACGCTCTCCCCTGGGTAGGCTAGATAAGCAGTGTTTTGTAGTTTTTAATGAGAAAATAGAAAACTAGCTAGCTAGAGCCAGGAGATTACTAGGTTAATGAACAAACATCCTGCCTTCCCGCCTTATGAAAGAATGCTTGGTTTGAAATTCCCGCGCGCGAGGTCTTTGTAAGCAAATTACTAACTGCCACGTCTGCTTCTGTATAACGCTTGCCTGACCATATATAAGAACGTAGTTGTAAGCGCTCGGCGCGGCTCTCGTTTGCAGCTCCTTGTGGGCACTGTGTCGCTGGACACTTTAAGAGTTTGCCCCTGCGCAGGTTAAACTTGGCCAATAAAGTAACATCTTTGATACCCTGAAAGTCTCCGATATTTGTTCTCGAGTTTGCTGGATGCTACACAATACTCTATATAGCTCAGAGAATATGGTCCAAAGTAGGTAACTTACTGACCAAGAAGTGGAAATTACCTTCCTTCCACCAAAAAGCAAAATGCAGGCAATAAGACATGCCTGTCATAAGAGAGCACTCAATGGCTTTATCTTCTAACCACACTAACCACTGCCGTCTGTGCAGTAAGAGCAAACCAACATGGCAAAACAACCAACACAAAAGAAATTTGTACTATGAGCCTATCTTAGTTGGATTTTAAGGATGAACAAACCATCTGTCCCCTGACTCTGAGCATTCTCCACCAGAAAGTACTAGCTTAGTGACTACCTGTAATTAGGAAAAATTATTAAACTGAGCTAGATGTAAAAGCCCTAGAAGGAAGCATGATGTCACACTGCACAATTAGCACACTCCTGTACCTATTATTTGCATTCTCCTTCTTCCCTTTGACTCTCAAAGCTAGAACACTTGAACATCTAATGGCCTATACTAATGTTAAAAATTTTTTAACTGATTTCCTCTAATCAACTCTGAAAAGAAGGAATTGCTACTGAAGTTAACAATGCCCTGACCCAGCAGGATTCTCAAAACCCAATAGCCTTGTGACAGCTTCCTTGTGTCCTGTGCTCCTAAGGAGGTTGACCTTCCCCACAGCCTCTACAAAGACACTGCTAGCAGCAGTCACTGGAACCAAAACAGCAGAGTGGACTACAAAAGAATCCATCAGATAAGCAACTGCTTTTTATTTTTATTAAGTTGTGTTTTTGATCAAATAAGCACTGAAATCCAAAGTTAAAAGGTATAGAAACAGGGAAAAATATTAAAGCTGAAGATTCTGTTGACTTAACCAAATATACAAAAAATTCCACCTGACTGCACAGAGGATTTCATATATACTTATTTTCTTCTTGTTCTTTCTGCATAAACAATATGCCCATATTTTGGCCTCTCAACTCTCTTTCCCTCCCAGTAGGGCTTTTCCTGCTTTGATTAGTCATAGTTTGGTTTAGTTTCTCAGCAGGGATGACTCACATTCCCAGTGCTTGGAATAAATGCGTCATTCTACTCTCTCAAGTGTTTGTTTTTCAGCAAGTTCCCAAATACAAACCTGAAGTCAGCCTCGGAAGTTGAGAAGGATATCTCTGCTGCCAGATCATTTGATGAGCAGGTCTCTGGCTTCATTTCTGTCCAGGATCCCACTGCAATTGTAAAGGTGGAGGCTGGCATTGGCATGGTTACATAGTAATGCCAGCTCAAGCTCCCTATAAGCAGAAAGAGAAAAATCTAATGAGGCCAACGTATGGTTCTGGACCTTACTTGTATTTTTTTCTCTTTAGGCACTTGAAGAACTTGTGTCCTAAGATGGTATGAGCCAGTTCTTGGAGGTGGGTCCTGTCAACTGAAGGGACATTATTCCAGGTCTCAGGGGAAGCATAAGAGAGATGATAGTTTCAGGGCAGCCAGGGAGGTTTGGATCTATTCCAAGGATCAGTTTGAAGCCCTTCAAGTGAGGCTATAAATAAAAGGTGGTGGTTGAGGTGGTCACTAATAGCTGCAAACACATAAAAGTATACGTTGTATGCTCCTATAGAAACAAAAATATGTCTCATTCATCCTTATTGCCTAGTACAGTACTTGGCAACATAAAAAAAGAAAAAAGATGCTCACTTTGATGAACAAATGAATGAATGGATGGATGGATGAATGAACAGATGAATTATCATTTCTACTCTGCTATTTTGCCTAAATCAAGTCCATCTAAAATGGATACAGTAGAATACAATGAGACTAAAGAAGGGAGATACTTGGGTTTTAGTATCAACTCTGAAAATACAATAATTAATTGTAGAAGTTCAGGTCTTATATCCCTATCCTTTTTATCTGTTAATATATTGGGCTGATCCCCCCTTCCTCATTGAACAGATGAAAAACAGGCCTGGAGAGGTTCAATGGAGCCAACAACTCCCACCTAGTGTGTAACAAGGCCAGAATTACAGCTGGGTCTCCTCACCCCAGTCAGGCTTATGCCTGCCAGTTAGTCCAAACCTTATAGAAGGCTTTTTAACAAAGGAACAAATGGTTGATAACTTATAACACTATACTTCCTTACTTCTAAGATGGGAAAATGGTTTTAATGTTTCTGAAATCTGAACATGTCATACAACCTGATTTTATATAGTATTTTTTGAGCACCTGCTATAAAGTGATGGTGGTATGTCTTAAGGGGAATTAATATCACCTCATACTATGGAACAATTCTCCACTCCTCATGTTCTTCATGGTCCATTCGATTAACACACCTAGCCTCTCTTTCAGACCCTTACTAATTCTTTAGCAGGAGCTATTCTTCTCTTTGTTGTTTTAAGTTTTAAAGGGTTAAACAATCATGGAGTGGCCTACAGTTGTCCAGTTTGGTTAGTAAGCAGATAAGATGTCATATTCAGAGGCAAACAAAATGTTATCATGCCCACATTGGTCAGCAGAGTTAACATGACATTTTTCAAAGTCCTTTACCAGTAAAAATTAATAATAAAGGTTAGAATTAATCAAAAACTTTATTTATGTATTTTAGACAGAGGGGAAAGGAGAAAGAGAGGGAGAGAAACATCAATGTGTGGTTGCCTCTTGCACATCCCCTTCTGGAGACCTGACCCAGGCATGTGCCCTGACTGGGAATCAAGCCAGTGACCCTTTGGTTCACAGGTTGGTGCTCAATCCACTGAGTGAAACCAGCCAGGGCTATAAAGGTTAGATTTTCATCTCTATATGCTTGGTTTCTTTGTCTCTCAACTAATTCTGAACTCAAGGAGGTAAAGGGTCACTATTTATTGCCCTCTGAAACTACCAACTTAGATCCAAAAAAGAAAATACACTGTAGAACTCCTCTGATGAAAAACAAATTTAAAAAAGTTGTTAAAAAGATTTTATTTATTTATTTTTAGAGAGAGGGGAAGGGAGAAAAAGGGGGAGAGAAACAGCAATGTGCAAGAGATACAATGATCGGTAGCCTCTTACATGCCCCCAACTGGAAACTTGGCTCACAACCCAGGCATATGCCCTCACCAGGAATCAAACCAGCAACCTTTTGGTTCGTAGGCCAGGAACCAGTCCACTAAGCCACACCAGCCAGGGCAGAAAAAAAATTTAAGTAGAAAACAAATACTTAAACTTAAGGAAAAAGGTATCTATGAAATCAACTTTGAATAAATATGGTATATATCAAGTTTGGAAGTTATTAGAGGAAATATATTTGAATAAGGACTACAGAAGGGCATGCTCAGAATGGCTGGAAACCCATCATAGAGCTAGCCAACCTCTCAAACTTGCTTGTAAGTTTCATTCTGCTTCTGCAATCAGACTAGCCACTGTTGAAATCACTCTTTCCACAGATAACTAACAAGTTGAAGGCATGCTCCTTGTTTTTTTTTCTTCTTTAGATTTTATTTATTTTATTTTTAGAGAGAGGGGAAGGGAAGGAAAGAGGGAGAGAAACATCAATGTGTGGTTGCCTCTCGTGTGCCCCCTACTGGATACCTGGTCCGCAATCCAGGCATTGCCCTGACTGGGAATCGAACCAGTGACCCTTTGGTACGCAGGCCTGTGCTCAGTCCACTGAGTTACACCAGCCAGGGAAAGCATGTCCCTTTTTAAAGAGACCAGAGACAATCCAGTGGTATATGTAGCTTTTTTTGAGCTGAAAGGAAAACCACAGCTTTAGGGAGAAATGCTGCACTGATTTCAAGCCAGTAAGAAGAGGCTACAGACAGTCACAGAGGTCTTGATAAAAGCATGACATGGATCTGTCATGACATAGGGTACTGTGCCCACCTCCCTAATTTTTCTACCTTCCCACATCTATCTCATTCTCTTCAAACTGATGCCTCCCTGCAGTTGCTCCATGAAGAACTTGAAATTTGGACTGGACAGCACAATGAGAGCTTGTGCAAATTGCAGGGAGCACAGAGATGGAAGAACAGGAAGAAAGTTGTGGGTGAGGGACTGAATGTTTTAAACAGCCTTGGTTTGAAAGAAAAATCCTGAATGACTGAATTTTTGTAATCAAAGGACTGTGGTCTGGCCATTCTTTCTCTGAAGTATATTTTGGAATATTTACCATAAGCCACTGAATTTTTCTTTTAAAACTTCGGACCTGTGAGGGTTCAATACATATACAGCAATGGCGATGCTTTAAGGTGAAAATAAAAGATTAAATGTATAAGGCTATCTTTGTTTCTTCCCAAAACCCAAGTAAAGTAAAGGACAGCAAAGGATATTTTTAAGCCATAAACAAACAAAAACAGGGAGAATACTACAAGAACATAGGAGATACTAGCTGCAAAATACTGGAAGTTAGAATGCAGATCAAAGAGTGGTAAATGACATAGCAAACCTGAATCTTAACTCAGTAGTGGAGAAAAATATCCACCTCACTTTATCCCCTAGAAGCTCCAAAACTGGGGTTGGAGGAAGTATAAACTAAGCAGGCCTGTCTGAGAAGGGCTTAGATCCCTGAATGGCCTCCCCTATTCCACACACCTGGGTTATATGCCCATTCCCCACACACCAATAAAATAATTGGAAGTTTATTTTCTATACAGAGTAAAAGAGAGGGCCTCTAGACTGGGGGTGGATATGTGGAACAGTTGAGGGGGTTAGATGAATGTATGCGTATCAGATACTGAGAGCATCAGCCATCTTCCCTTATCTGTTTCCCAGAATGTTAGAAACCAGGTTTTTAAAAATTTATTTTTAGCCCTGCCTGGCATAGCTCTGTGGATTGAGCGCGGGCTGCGAACCAAAGCATCACAGGTTCGATTCCCAGCCAGGGCACATGCCTGGGTTGCAGGCCATGGCCCCCAGCAACCACACTTTGATGTTTCTCTCTCTCTCTTTCTCCCTCCCTTCCCTCTCTAAAAATAAATAAATAAAATCTTTAAAAAATTTTTATTTTTAGAGAGATGGAAGAGAGGGAGAAAGAGGAAGGAAAACATTGATGTGTGAGAGAAACATGGGTCAGCTGTCCCTTGCATATCCCCAACCAGGGACCTGGCCTGCAACCCAGGTGACCTTTAGGTTTGCAGGACAACACCCAACCCACAGAGCCACACCAGCCAAGGTAGCAGCCAGGCTTTTATCTTCCAGGCAGGAAAAGGAAAAAAGCTGACCAGCTCAAGAGGAGACAGCTAAGGATTCTGACACTGGAGGTTTCTGATGATCATCCTATGATGAAGTCCACAGTTGACAAGCCCTATGCATTCATTAGAGCTTCCAATTAGCATTCCAACCTACTCCTAATGCCTACAGACAATTCAAGGATCTCCAGGCATTTTTAGAAAGCCCCTTATGTAAAACTGGGAGACCAAAACAAATAGAAGCAAGCAACTTAGAGGATAGTAACCATGCAAGACGAAGAAAACTTCAAAACCACCAAACGTATACAGATTGAGAATTAAGAGAATTTATTGCAGTGCTGAAACAAGAACAGTGTAATATAAAAAAGCAGGATTCCAAAGTAAAGAGAATTAAAAACACGATGGAAGAAAAAAATCACTCAATAAAAAGATTAGAAAGCTGAGGAAAAGTACTAGAAAGTAAAGAAAAAAAAGATGAGAATAAAGAGAAATCAATCCAGGAAGTTCAATACCCAAGTAAAAGAAACTCCAGCAAAAGACAACAGAGAAAATAAGAGAAAGAAAATCATCAGTTAAAAAAATTGACAAAATTTCCCCAAATTTAAGGGGCACTGAGTTTCCAGACTGAAAGGACACAGGACTGTATAAATCAACCCACATTGAGATACATCACTATGAAATTTAGAATCCTGGGGACAAAGACAAGATCCTACAAGCTTCCACAAAGAGAAAAAAAAATCACATATGATTAGGACATTTTCAGAGAAGCAGAGTTTAAAAAAAATTCACCTCCCACATATCTGATTCTCGGGAAGCTGCTAGAATATGTAAAGTATGCTGCAAAAAGAGGCAGTAAACCAAGAGGAAGGCTGACAGCCACTACAAGAAAGAAGCAAAGGGAACTTGATAGACACTGGCAATCTATCAGCCTGATAGAGAATGGCAATCCCAGAAGCCAGCTGTGTCCCCAGTAGAGAGAGTAACTAAGCAATGTCCACCGAAACAGATTACAGGCCTGGGGAGAGATTGTTTCAAGAAGATGAAATTGACAGAAAACCTGATAAATCTCAGCATCTTGAAAATTTTAAACAACTTTCAAAGAGTCTGGGGTTGGTAAATACACAGAAAAC